GCTGAATTCAAAGATTAGATTGAGTTAGACCTCTAAAAGCCTTTGAAGCTAATATCACTACTCACATGAGTCAGAATTAGTTAGAGACATGAATGCCGACCATTTTTTTTGACCAGCGGATACTTGTAGACGTAAAAAAAAAAAAAAAGGCAACCCCCCCCCGGCACTTTACTTTTAACTCAGTGTGTTTCAATGCTGAGCTCTGTGCATGCCCAGAAAAGACAGTGTATTACTTCTACCTGTCTCTGTAGCATCTGTAAAGACTGGACACTTTAGTAGGACTCTTTTTGGCACTTTTATCTAATAGCTGATTGAATCAGCTTTAGCTAAAAGCACCAGAAAGCCCTGCTGAAGCACCCAAACTTTACTGACACTGCAGAGCTGGGCTGAAGCCATGCACTGCTTTCTTCCAGTGAAGAGGTGGGGGCAGTTATTTTATTTTTAACATCTGCAAGTGACTCCACGGGTGCTGAGCACCTGCTAATTTTTTTCAGTGTGTGCTTGAGCCCTGGAGCACCCACGGAGTCAACTAAAAGAAGCAAGGCTTGTATGTAAAAGGTTGATATTCTCGAAGTCATTTTGAGAGTGTTATGCACTTAAATGAAATGATTAATATTACCTGAAATATTCTAGAAGAAAAAAAGTTAACCCCCCAAAATAAATGGTTAAACTTTGAGAAAATGCACCTATGCTATATGTACCAGTAGAGGCTGGGGACTGACTGGCTAAACAGCAGCTCTGTAGAAAAGGATCTGGGGGTTACGGTGGACAAGAAGATGAATATGAGCTAACAGTGAGCCCTTGTTATGAAGAAGCCTAACAGCTTACTGGACTTCATTAAGAGGAGCATTGCCAGACTGAGGGAAGTGATTATTTCCTTTTATTTGGCACTGGTGGGGCCACATCTGGAGTACTGTGTTCAGTTTTGGGCTCCCCACATCCCCAGAATGGATGTTGACAAATTAGAGAGAATCCAGTGGAGGGTAATGAAAATGGTTAGAGGACTGGGGCTTATTTAGTCTGGAGAAGAGAAGACTGAAGGAGGATTTAACGACAGCTTTCAAGTACCTGAAGGGTGAATCCAAAAAGGATAGAGCTAGACTGTTCTCAGTGGTGGCAGATGACAGAACAAGGAGCAATGATCTCAAGTTACAGCAAGGGAAATTTAGGTTAGCGATCATGAAAGACTCTCTCACTAAGAGGGTAGTAAAAGACTGGAACAGGCTACCCAGAGACATTGCATCCTTAGAAGTTTTAAGACCCAGGTAGACGAAGCCTCAGCTGGGATGATCTAGTTGGTGATGATCCTTCTTTGAGTAGGGGTTTGGACTAGATGACTTCCTGAGGTCCCTTTAACCCCTAATTTACTATGATTCTCTGATTCTATGAACATTTTGGAAAAGAGATCATCCTGTAAATTAAGATTATTTTTGTGCTGAACTAAAATAATAAAGAGAAATATATAAGCTTTAAGCAAACATAGAAGATGCTGTTGGATATAGCATTTTAAATTAAAAACCACCATGTACATTCCAATGTACATGCCATGTCAGTTTATGTTCCAAAATAAATATTTAAATATCTGGACTGATTACTGGTTATCTGTCCAGGAAATGATATTGTAAATAATACCTTTTAATAGACTAGTTCATGTAAATGTTTCAACTAATAATTTTCCCACACTTAAATTAACCTTTTTTTTTTTTAATTGTATTTTATTTTAACAAGAAAATAATATACACATACTCTAATAAAAGCACTCTGACCAAATAACAGATTTTGGTTAAGCAAAACATGTAAGTCCAAATTCGTGAAAGATATGGCTTGAGTTTTAAAGCTGATGGACACCGGGACTTCCCATTGACTCCAGCTGGAATTCTGGATACTCAGTAGGGCTGTGCAAAGCTTTGGTCACCAAT